ATTGTGTTTAATCGCTAAACACAGTTTTAGAGTGTGGTACAAGCTTATATGTATGTATTTATATATTTATCCAATGAAATCGTCTTCTATCACAGTTCACAGTGCTCGGTACATCTCTGTATAGAGCTATAATAATGCAATAAATTCAAAATATGAGCTAATCAAGATTTGCTCATAATTTTGCCAAAGTTTGATTAGCTCATATTTAGAATCATTGCATGATAATTTATATATGTATATATATATATTTATATTTATATAAACAAGCAAAATACAATGGAAGCAAAAAATACAAAAACAAAATGTTTTCCAAATGCAAATAAATAGATAAGCATTGCAACAATTGCTTCCGTACACAACAAGTAAAACTGAGGCATGCTTAAAAGAACTTTAAAATGACAAGAACAAAGCCAAATTTTCAGCCAAACGATGGCGGAGGAAAGCTAAAAACGCCAACAAAACTTTCTACAACTTATACCGAAGTCAGTTGCAAATTTTACAAAATTAATCTCAAATTTGACAATGCAAATAAATGCCACTAACGTGGTGTTAGTGGCATTTTGTAGACTATGTTTCAACGTCAAAATTTACTGACTTAAATTTTTGGTTTGAACCTCATATATATTCAAACCAAAATTTTAATCAAAATTCCAATTTACGCCAAGTCTTCTTTATTAAATCAATTCCTCAATTCCCGTTGTGCTTTTTATTATATTCTTCCACCGCGAAAACCTGAACTCACGATTTGTCTCATTCTTGTAGCATGAGTAATATGCAAAGAAACAGTCTGAACTGAGTTCTTTTATGTAGCAAGTTTAACAAGTTTCTACAAATATTTGCCGAATCTCTGAAGACCTTTAGTTCTGAACAAAAAATACATTTCATGAACAATTTAATAACTGTTACATTAAAGCTATAACACCACATAGTTGATTTAAAAATACAAATCACTATTCAAAGGGATCTCAAGACAACAGTAACATACAAAAAGTTAAGTTTGCAATGGTAAATGAAGTTGAAGGTGTTTATCACGCTGGGTGCCAAAACTTGGGTTTTCGTCTACAAACTCGATTACAGGTTGTTTGTCGCTTCTAACAGAGCAGGTAGATCTCGGCACAAACAATTTAATGAATTTGATATTTAAAACAAAAATTAATATGTATAAACATGAATTATTGTATCAAGCATTTTGAACCAATTTTGAAGTCATTGTCACACAAGGCTGTTCATTAATTTCATGAAGGGTCCCGCAGGTCGCCTTCTGCAATTGGGCTCTGATCTCAGTTGAATGAACCACGAGAAATGCCAAATTGTCTCCACGGTTAAAAACTGTTATGCAAATCAGTCGTAATGAGCTGCAGTCATCTTCTGATCAGGCTGTATTTTTTTTGGCATAGATTCATGGGCAAAATGGAAAACATTTATATACGTCCACATTTATATAGGCCCTATATTATTGTTTATGGCTTTTAAAAGTTAAAATTACCACATTGTTTTGAATGTACGTATTTGATAATTCATATTTATTTGTTTTATATTTTAAATTAATGCTTGTTTTCTTTGTTTTCCTCGTTTAAATTTTCAAGTTAACATTTTCTTTGCACAGCATTTGTGGCGTCCTACAGCTAGTGACGATGCAAGAAAGCCCCCCCCCCTTATGATGAATAGTCAGTGCCGTCAACAAATCAAAGGGAATCACACAAGCAGGTTATGACCAATTAGTCTTAACTCTGTTATATGATAAATATAACAGTAAATTTGGTTGAATGCTAAATTATTCGAGGCTGGTTTCCACTATGAAAGTTTTAAGAGAGTTGGAAAGTTGACTAAAGCGACCGGGGGGGGGGGCCGGGGGTCAACAAGGGCCATGCCCCCCCTCCAAAATAATCATCCAAAATGAAATAAAAAACACTTTGTTTTAAAGTCGTCGCAAAAAAGGCAGCCTCTGAGTACTTCATCAAATTGTGTCCAAAAAAGTGGTTCAAGTGCTCAGAAGTTGCCTCAAACGCACAAAATGAGCATTTAGAATCCCAAAATATTTCATGCCGCTTAAGCATGTCCCGATTCCCACGCCAAAAATTTGTGGACCCAATTCGTGCGACAATTTCTTTTCTTTTGGCTCCTCCCAAAAATCGTGTTTTAGATCCGCCCAGGCCTTGGTTGTGCCATGGAGCTATAAAAAGCTCCGTGGTTTGCTGCGTCTGGTCAACGAAATAAGTGTATTGCTGGTTTTTTTTTATAAACATTGCTGAATATTGTTGCCATTTTCACCGACACGCCCATGGGTATCCCGTTTTTAATTTTTTTTTTTTTTTTTTAATAGGCTAAGCCTCCATTTCGTCATTCTTATTCCAGAACCCCATTCCCGAACCTCATATATACACAAGACATGACATTGTGTTTCACGTGGTTCGGTCTGAAACACGCTTACCTACCCAAACACTAGGGGCGCCCTTCCATAAACGAATTTCGAGCGTTTTCGAAACCGCGACCAGTCTTTGGCTTCGTTTCGGCTTAAGGCGAGTTTAGGGCCCCCCAACTTGGCGAACTCCAGCTACATAACTTATAGGTTTTTCGGCCAACTTCCTGAAATGTTCATTCACTTCTGAAAATTGGTCATTCATTTTAGTCTGAATTTAAGAATCGCTGTGATCACGCGCTTCATTTTCGCTACCAGAGCATTCGATTCCATATTTCAGTTCCGAATTAAGTGATCGAGCAGCACCTTTCGTTTGTGTCCATTCAGATACGTTTTACAAGACTTCTTTTTTGCTTTCAGAGGGCGATTTCAAACATTCTCAGGGTGAGCATTTTGGCCAATTTTCGGCTAACTTTGACAGAATTGTTCTTAAAAACTGAGTTTGACAGAAAATTTGACAGAAAGGATTTTTGTTGGCAGATATCTGGCAGAATTCTGCAAAAATGGTTATTTGACCCAAAAAACATAGCAGATTTGAAAAAAAATGGTATATTTGTTCAAAAAAAGCTTCAATATTTTCAAACAAAACCTTGCACAATGGGACAGGTTGGCTGGTCTAGGTGCTCAGGTTCACTCTCGGAACCGGGCTTTGTTGTGACTCAGCGTTTTGCCTGAAATTTATGCAATTTCATACTGTCTTTATGCGACTATAGATTGTTTTTAATGTAATTTGAACCTCACATCTGCATGTGATTTTAAGTGTTTATAGTGTTTTTATGATGTTTTATTTTTGATACAGTTTTTGAAGTGCATTTAGCAGAATTTGGCCATGCCCTTACGCCTCATTCGCCATTCCATTTCACTTTTAGTTTAATGCCATCGGCGCAAGGGTTTCTTTTTCATTAACCGTCAATCAACTTTAACTGTACCTGAAATCAATTTAGAAAAGATATGCTTGCGTAAATGAACGACTGTTGCGTAATTTGCCGCCTGTTTCTCAAAACCGAATGCACGGGAAATAATGTCACAACGTCTGTGGCCCAACTTGAGATTCAGGGTTCGATGCCAAAAGCTCAAAATATCATCGCTGTCCAATTCACGATTTGCATGCCTAATGGGGGCCATTAACTTGGGGGTTTGGGGGGGGGGGGGGGGAAAAGAAGGGTGGAAGCCGTGCCCCGGACTTTGGGGTAAACTTAAGCCCTAAAAGCGCTATTTTTAGCAATGGAGTGTGTAACTCGTTTTTTTTTTTAATGGCGATAGGCTTCAAGACCATTTGACAGGATGATGATCCGTTCTAGTAGAATTTTCTTCCAAAAATAAAAGATTACCGCCAGAAAAATGAACAGTGCGGATTTCCTAACGCGACGGCCAGGCATACTATATTGTATTGTACGGTGGTCGATATTGCCGGGGGGGGGGGGGGGGGGGGGGTCAACTTCCCGGATAGAACATTTTTGTTTGTATATGGGTGCAGACCAGTAAATCGGTCCGAAAATGCCTAACGGCAGGCCAAATCACGATTTGCATGCCCTCAAAATCTTCAGTATGATTTGAGCATGCTGTGGGCCATGAACTTGAGGGTTTGTAAAAAAATATGGGTGGAAGCCGTGCACAGGACTGTGAACATGTAGTTCCGTTCAATTTGGATGAAATTGGGGCCCTTAAAGCGCTCTATTTTGCAATGGAGACGTGTAGGCATCGTTTTTCAAAATGGCGATGGGCTTCAGGACTATTTTTAGGGGTGATCATCTTCGGATGGAAATTGCTCCTAAAAGTCATCAGTTGACCCCCGAAAATTGAAAAGAAAATGAAAGATGATGAAATAAGCTTTAATTTGATGTGTGTCTCGAACACCTTGGAGAGTTGTGAGTATTTTTCCCGAATTTCTGAAGTGGGAGCATTTACCATTGGGGTCTATGGAAGTTTATTTTGTGGTCTGCTACCATAAGCGCGCGCGGTCGGCTGGCGCGGATGGAAGTCCCCCCTCCCCCCCCCCCCCCCCCCCCCCCCCCCCCCCCCCCACCACCACCACACACACACACACACACACACACACCCAACACCACATAATCCCATGGGGGTAAAGCATGGAGGAAGGAATAAAAGGGGTGACATTTTATTTCTGGGCGGAATTCTTCGCCACGCAGGGCTGGGGTACATCCCCAGGCTACGGTCAGCCACATGTAAATGAAAAACTCTCATTTACGCCAAAACTTTGTTCTCAGTTTGTTTGTTCATTTTTCAAATAAATTGAGAACAAAAAATAAAATATTTCCGTGCTGAGGAAAGATGACAAAATTGGGCAGCTTTACAGAATGGCGAGGCCTTCGTGGTTTTTATGGAAACTCATCTCAAGTGGGAAAATGGGCGAATGCGGTTTATCACATGACTTATTTATCCTTCATCAGCTCAGTGCGTAAAAGTCCAACTAAACTCGGTCAATCTGGAGGATGAAGTGTCCTTGAGTCATGTTTCCCTGCACATTTTTTGATGGCAGGAGGACTGGAAAAGAGTGAGGTTATTTAAACACCTGCTGTGAGAGTGAGAGAAGTGTTAATTTGCGCGGTATGGTCAGGGACAGTGGACAGTCTGAATGACGGTCTGTGTAAAGTCCTGATTCTACCTCCATTGTTTATGCACATCACCACCAGGCACCCTATTGACAGCGCGTGTTGTATACCCAGTGATAGATAGAACATTTTGTATTAATAATGTCTACCTCAAGTTCATACTCAATGGAGACTAGCAAAGAACGGCAAGAAGCAGCAGCAGGGTCTGCACTGCCACCAGTACCACCGCATGCAGCTGCAGACTGCTCAACACGTGCTGAAGATCATGACTCCGGATCCGAGTCACAACCAACCACAAGTACAAGTTGTGACGTCGGACAAAAACGACGTTGCCTACAAAATCTGGTAAGTTGGTGTATGGTGCATCAGGAATTCCTCCGTGTCAGTGTAAGACATTATATTTGTGTATATTACATCAGAATATACAAACTCGTCAAATAATGCCTCCTTAATAAACTTTGCAGAAGCGGAAACGACCTTGCCCCGTGTGCGAGACCGAAAATGGTATGGCAGCGCGTGCATGCAGTGAGTGCGGAGAAGATCTAAAGAAGCCAAAGCTGCCACTACGAAAGGAAAACTTTAAAACAAAGTTGAGCACTACTGCACTGAAAGCTCATGTGGAGTCTCGGGTAATTATAAAGTCAATCAGAGTCATAAAACGGTATTTTAGACTTTATGTACCATTATGTGAAAATACTGCTGGATGCGTCTGTGATAATGTTGATGCAAGTTGTTTGCCCGCCGTTAAACTAGTGTACTATATTTTCAAGTATTATTCTAGGCCTACCCTCACTTCTTCCCTTTTGGTTCATAATTTGTTGCACACTCAACCCAGGCCCGTATGGTGGTGTGGGATGGTTTACATGGGTGTGGCAAAACATCTAAATTGACAAAAGTTAAAACTTTGTAGAAAAAAAAAAATTGCATTTTTTTTTAACGAGGGAGTCCAATTTTTTAGAACAAGGCACATTTTCCTTAAGTAGACTACCACTTTTGGGAAACTCTGCCCTTCCTTATAAATCCTGGTTATGCATGCGCACACTACATTGATTTTAAATATAAAGAAATGATCGAGTATTTAAAGCTTTGCTTTGATGATCTTATTCTCCGCAGACAAACCAGTTGTGGGGAACCCATAACACACACTGTGTGACCCTGTATTACAGTCAAAATCAGGTCAGGGACCACGTGACCATTCATGCCACACCTGGTGTTGGAGAAGCAGCTGTTGAGGCTGCTGGGATGGATCTAATAAATTTGTGGTCCAAACATGTTGTAAGAGGTTAGTAGTATCCCATGGAAATTATTGTGGATTCTATGCTCTTGTTTCTAAATCTTAACTTTGCGACAATATTCTTTCAATCCAAATCATGTTGTTGTTCCTCAAACTTAGTTAACATAAATTCATTTTTTTAATAAAAATACCAAGCTGCTAAATATTCTGACATTCTAGTTATTTTCTTGATCAGCTTATGGATACAACACATTTTCCAGTGTACTTTCAAGGTGATTTTGAGCAAATACGTTAGTTTATTTTCTTTGCAGCTTTATCTAAGGAAGGAGTACCTTCATCCAAAGAAACTACTTCGACCTCTTCCTTCTCATCTGCCCCCTCTTCCACTGAAGCTAAGGAAGGAGTACCTTCATCCAAAGAAACTACTTCGACCTCTTCCTTCTCATCTGCCCCCTCTTCCACTGAAGCTAAGGAAGGAGTACCTTCATCCAAAGAAACTACTTCAACCTCTTCCTTCTCATCTGCCCCCTCTTCCACTGAAGAACATCACTCCTCAACATCAGGTGCCAACCACCCAACTACAGGTGCAGGTAATGATCCGATGCTAACAAAGACCACATTGTAAGATGCGGTCATGGGCTTCCAATTGGCAGGGCTACGCAGGGGCATAGCAAGGTCTTTTTATTGGGGGGGGGGGTAAAAAATGTTCCAAGAGGGCACTTACACACCAGTACTGAAATGTGGACACGTTGGGGGGGGGGGGGGGGGGGGGGGCTCTTCAAAACCCATGATTGGATACACTTAAGGGCAATATATGGTGCTTTTCATGGCAATATACATGTGCCAAATTTAAAGAAATGGCACCCGTACTGGCCGATAACAACAAAGGCATAACTTTTTTTTAAGGGCACTTGGTAAAGAAAAAGAAGGCACTTGTCAACAACAGGAGGGCAATCTATAGAAATGGGGGGGGGGGTTAAAATCTAGTGAAAAATAAAGGCATTTGAATGGAACAGGGCAGACTTTATTGGGGGGATACCCCCCCCCCCCCCCCCCGCGCCTATGCTATGCATACATTGACTTGTGCCAATGCATATCTCTGTGAATGCTACCCTTTGATACAAAGGGTCGATCCTACATCTTAATTTTTTTTCCCAAAATTGTTTTGTTATGCAAATAATGCTGCATCCAGATTTCAAGAGGCACTTCTAATAATTTGCTTGAAAATGCGTTACAACCAAAAGGGAGAATTGCGTTGCTTTTTTAGTTATGTTGAGAAAGAGATGAATTAGAAGTATTTCGTTTTCCTATTCTAATACAATTATTTTTCACATTATAGTGAAATGGTACCGGCTGTACAACAGAGATGATGCGCATGTTGGTAATGGACATAAACAAGAGAACATGACCACCATCCACTGCCATCCAGTCCCACCGGGATGCAGAGTTTTTGAAGTTGTGGGACTGACGGGGAAGACACCAGTTCCACTCATTCACCCGTTTAATGGTGAACATTTTATGCAAAAAGGAAGCTTTATTGCCTGGCCACTGACCTTGACCAAAGGCCAAAACTGATATGTTCCAAGTTCACCACATACAGCTGTAAGTTGACCTCGAGATCATTTGAGAGTTTAGGAGAAACCGCACTTGAGGGCATATGATACGGAAGCTTCATTTTTATTGTCTAATGCATCTCTTGAGACACTTTGCTTTAACGGTGTTCTTTTCATCTAAACGGGAAAAAAAACACAGTTTTTAAAAATATGATTTTTTTTTCTTTTCAATTTACAACATGTGTACGATACATCAAATAATGTGAAAGAAGAGCAAAAAAAATCTAGGTACAAAATGTATGTAATACCTTTTTCTTTCTGTTGCACTTGTTCAAGCGCTTGTCTTTCTAAAATCGCAGTTTAAGGTGGTCGTTGCATACATTTTATGTACAAAACCTGATTCAACCTATGTTCACACACGTCAATGCATACACATACATGTATACAGTAAAGGGATTTTTAGGACTTTGCTCTTTCTCTTCCCGACATGAACCAATTACGTAGCATATGTCCCCCCCCCCCAAAAAAAAAAAAATCTCACTTTTCTTCAATAATTTATTAAGTTTTGCATACAATTACTACACTTGAAAAACAAAGAAAAAAACAATGAAAAGCCTACAACCTTACATCTAGTTTGGTGCAACAGAATAATTTTATATTAGGCCATTAACTGACCAATAGCGAGGAGCAAAATAAGCAACAAGTAGAAAATTCATAGATTAATGAATCCAATTAATTATTTATTGAAAAAAAATACAGAATCAGTGAATCAATTCCAATCCAAATTAAGCCTTATAATAAAAAATCACCGATGGGCTTGACATGCAAGGCAAAATTAAAAGAAACTTAAAACATCAAAGTTAGTAAATTATGTAACATAAAGTTAAAATATGCACAAATTAATAAGCACAGAAAATGTAGTGACTGAAGCTTATTCAATATCAATACAAAAACCAGATTCACGCCAAATGAACCGAAATCAATGCATGTAATCAACAAAGCAAATGAACATGTTATGCTAGCTTCAAATCAACAACACAATAGCATATAAGCAAAGGAAATCGTTGCATGCAATCAATGGCGAAGCAAATGAAAATACATGTGCCTGCAAACATCAACTATATAGCACAACTAAACAAACCTAACTCATACAAGCTTCAAATCAAATTGAATGAATTCTGAATGAATTCAATGTTACAAATGAGATAATAACCAATAAAGTACATGTAAACAAACTTCTGGTAATTAACAAAGCTGCGAACAAAATATTTAAAGAACCACTGAAAATTCACAGATGACCGGGCGTGAAGATATCAATAACAATTGTCTTCGACAAAAGATCAATAATAATGTCAATATTATAATCACTGCTCACAAAAAAAGTAAAAATGAATGGGCAACTGTGCCGCCTACAGGCAATATGGAGCAAGGCCCAATGGCAGTGATTGATTTGTATTTATGCAAGTGCGAGTAATTTGGGCCATTAGTCATGCATAAGAGAAACAGGTTGCTTAACTTTTACTGCAAGTTTCAACCACTTTTAAAAATCCTTGTTCGAGTTCGGTTAATAAAAAACTAAGATTGGGTTTTAAGGAGACAACCCCTTAGACTTGTGCACACAATTTTTCAAACTTTACTGTGCCCAATTCTCCTACTCTTCCTGCTATAGTAACGCAGTGTTTTCCATAGCAAATGCAGTAAATTATGAATGACACTGCACAGTTTCTGCATGTTTACAAAAACTAAATTTAGTTATAGGCAAAGAGCACATCTTGAAACCATGAAAATTGTACATTCATTAGAATAATGAACAAAACTTCAATGTCACATCACATGAAAAAAATAATACTCAGAAGATCTTCAAATCTTCAAAAGAGGAAAATTTTCAAATGAATACTGTTTTGTCATTATATTCATCAGTTTATCTTTTGATATGAAGGAAAAACAGCTGTAATATTTGAATTTTGTGTTGTAGCTCATGGGAAGTAATGTGTTATGTTTTTGTAAAATAATGACAGTTTTCTGGCATTCCAATACAAGCAGTATCTGTATCATATCCACCCTGGCAATATTTATATTTACGTCACCTGACACGTTAGGTTTGTAAATCAAAATGTATTTTCAGGATTTGATTGCACTAATCACACACAGAATGTGGTTGTTTTTATTTGTTTTGCAAGCAAACAGCACTGTTTACACTTCTTTGTTTGATAAAGAATGTCTATTTAACATTGCTGTGTATTTCATATGTACCGGTAGTTTACCGTAAATGACTTGAAATGGCACCAGTAGATTGTGACATTGTAGAGGAAATGTGCCTTTGGTTGTTCCATGAACACCAAAAGTAAAAAAACTATGAAGATAAAAAGACAAGAAAAACAGCAGAACCACTTATGAAATGCAAATCTTATAAGTATGATATACACACAGTATGTATGCATGCGTGACGTGTAAACCAGTGCACGATTAGTTTGTCCAAATTCTCAATGTTTTACATCCTCCAAGGCAATTCACTAATTAACCAAAGAATTTTAAATAAAAAAAGAAAAAAGGACATCACTTTCAACAGTTCTCCATGGTTGTGTCAAACGCAGCATTGCGGACAAAACATTAGATTGCGAGAGAAATGCTTTTCACGATTGTGCTGTTTTTCAACTCAAAGTTAGCTGATCATGTAACAAGAGGCTGCATTGTTAGGGGCGTGCATTTACGAGTTGTAGGGGAACCATGTACTCTGTTGAAGAAAATATGGGTACCTGGGTATCCGCAACAGAAACCCAACTCAGAAATTCAAAGGGAATGATCCGTTCTGATTGTTCAGGAAGGTCCGCACCTAACATCAAATATGTGCATCAATAAATACAGTGGTACATGTAGTGAGGTCTTAAGCTTTACAGTGAAAATGTAACTTCCAGTGCTCGTCATAAAGGTACAACTGGTGTTATTTTCCATATAGCCTGGCTTTCATTTTACAATTTCCCACCAGTGACATTCAAACCTTTCTTAAATTCTTTGTTATTGTATATGAATCACAAGTAATTTGTAAAGTTGCTTTTTATTTACGGGTACTCGATATCATAATCTGGAACCGGTTCCTGAACAGGGTCCATTAATGACCATAAAACTAGCTGGGTGAAATATGGTAATAAAAACAATTCATAAATACCTAAGACAGTTTACGCATTCCTATTGGTCGAGAGCCCCTCACATGGCTGGTCTTAAATTGATATTAAAGAAATGGCTAACTGGTCTTAAACACTTTTCCAGTGTTACATGAAATTTGGACTCCCATTCATTGGTTGAACGTTCACATTCCTCACGTATGCATGCGTAATATACTACCAGTGAATCGGTATTTCATGGTCCGAGATTCACACTTCACCAGCCCAGCTGCATTTTGCACGTCATCGCGCAGTACGCGCGACGTGCACGACAATGTCCTTATAAGTTAACGAGTTGTGGAGGGGCATTCCATATGATAGTCAGAGGGGTGTTTTGCAAAACAAGAAGTAAAATGGTTGAACAAAATATTTGGCAACGTGTTCTTTTTGACTTGTTTTGATTTTTGGGCCGAAAAGATTTTTTTTTGACCGAAAAGATATTTATGAATGGGAATAAATATGTGTGCGGTCGGTATAAACACTCTGTTTAAGACCGGTGGGAGTCTGGATGGGCCTGGGGTAATTATCACCCATCCAGGCTCCCACCGGTCTTAAACAGAGTGTTATAATACCTCCCAAACACACATTTATTTCCTTGTTAAGGAATCTAATAATATAATGGACACACACTGAGAGAAAACAAATTACGAATACTTTTGAAAGCCTTGGACAAAGTGCTATTGATGAAACTCTGAAAATGTCCAGTGTCGAGAAACACTTTGGCAATAAATTATTTTAAAAAGTAATAATTATAACTGTACATATGTTTGTTAATTCATTAAGCAAATAAATAATACACACTGTTTCTAACATCTAACAGTTCGTGAATCTAGTTTTTCACACACAAGCTCCATGCTGGGTCTCTTTGATGGGTTGGTTACAATGCACTGATCAGCAAGGCACCTCACCGTGTAGGGGATATCATTATGCAGAGCTAACTGGTGAATGGTCTGGCCAAAGGCATACACATCACTAGCTTTGCTTGGATGAGTTTCCCGTCTAAGTAGCATAGGATCAACAAAGGTAAGCTCATATGAAGACAGTGAATACACTTGCAACTCTGTAAGCTTGCGTGCGTACGTCTCCATGCAGGACAGAGACATGTCAATGACTTCTGCATGGATGTTTCCCATGCTGCCACCTCTATCATACACAAGCTGAATATTGTCAGGTCGCATTTGGTTGTGGATGAAGCCATTGTCATGAAGCCCGTTGAGGGCGTTGGCAGTATCCATAATAATCTGCAACCATTGCTTGTTTGAGAGCCTATCATCAGTCCATTGGGTTATGTTGGAGGCTGTTACCATTCTGTCATAATCCATAGGGATCTTAGTGGATGTTGTTACCAAGCAATGGATATGACATTGGCGCTCCTTTTTATATACACCAGCAGGCTTTTGAACACCTTCAATGTCCTTGTTCATTTTCAGAACCTTGAACTCCAGTGTTGCTGTGTTGAACCTGCTGGTATAATCCTTAATATATGTTGTAGGGTTACTATCTGGCACTATATACAAACTACTACTACTTTCCTCTTTAAATAATCTTTTCTTGCCGAAATCTACCTCAATATCAATCACCCCCTCAAAATCCACCTCATCAAGTTCCGGCTGCGAGTAGCTGTATCCCGATCCTAGCTGTGTTGCAGATTCCACCATGGTCAGCGTCCTCTGCAACACAGCTGGCCTAATTTTCTCATGGATGCAGCCGGAGTGCCTCTGCTTTAAGTCCATGAAGTCTGCTGTCACTTTAGCCAGCTGCCTCTCCAGAACCTGGTTGTGCCCCTGTTCTCTCTGGAGATGAACCTCCAGGCTCTGCTCTGGTGGGGCACACAATCTTTTCTGCTCTTTCACCTCATGAGGCCATCGGAACCTCTTGTGCCGTTTCTGAAATATAATTTTGAAATGTACAGTTTAAAATTATACCATTTATTTACAAAACGATAAATATTATTACTAATGTCAGAATACAATGGAACAATACCACTTAAAAATAAATTGAGTTAAATTTCATTTCATTAAATTTCAAAAAAGTGGATGAAGGTGATAATGAAAGATTTTTTTGATGAAGGTTTTTTTGGTCATGCAAAGTCTTACCTTAGTCATAGACCTGACTAACAAGGGCTACCACTTCTATTTTGGTCATTAATCATATACGAAATCCCCATTTTGAATTGATTTTGACCATGGTGATGAAAAGAGTGTGTGCATCATGATATTCTTTTGTACTGAAGGTAATTCAAACTACATGTACATGTACACATTGTCTCCTCCTTTTAACAAGAGGAACACCCTTGTTTTGTTTGCTTTTGAAGAATTTGAATATTTGTAAGTGAACAAATGCTATACATGTGAAAAGAAGTACATATGTACTACCGGTATATGCACATCCTACAAAGAATGATGTTGAAATATAGATATAAAAAAAAAAACCATGGAAATTAATAGGAACAGTTCAAGTAAGCACAATCATTTTGAAAAAGTCTAAATAAATTGGATGAAATACCTAACTAAAAAACCTCAAAAATACAATTCTTCCATTGTAAATCAACATAAAACTTCCTACATCATGCTACTTGGAACCCAGGGCTGTCCAGCTATGGTGTACCTGGCTCTAGGAATACCTGATACATTTCTGAATCCCACATGCCAAATCATTCTCCATTTTCTTTTGTGGTGGGGTGGGGAAAATCATAATACGAAATGGATCAATCTGTACTTGGAGTATTTATAGCTTACTTGATGACATGGCCATCACCAGGGTCTCTTCCACAGAAGGGCAAGTTTCTAGACAATTTGTCGGGGGGGGGGGGGGGGGGGGGAGGAGGAGGAGGGGGCAACGACCTCAAGACGCCCATGCTTGATGAACTTGATCAACATTAAATACTTGCTGACACTCAGTTTGGATTTCGACATTGATTTAGTTGTGAATAAATGGTTCATAAATTTTTATATTAAGAAGTGATTATATGGAAAAACAGGATTGTAAACAAAAGATGGAACATTTCTTGATTTTAGTCTACTTGTCATAATTATTAACAGTGAAATGAGCATTTCATTTTGGTACTGTATGTCTAAAAAATGTTCTGTTTATACTCGTAAGGCTTCATAAAAGTTATGTTGTCACCCTATCCACAGTAGTTTCAATGGTTTGACCATCTTCACCAGGCAGGTGGATGCTTAATGGATACTGGCGGTCTGAGGTGCAAATAAGACAGTGGGACTAGGTACATTATGAACTTGAAATATACTAACCTTCACTTCTTCATTGGAACATTCAGGCTCTGCAGGTACATCTGTGTCCTCCTGATGCACGAATAAACAAGCAAACACCAATAAATAGAAATGTATGGTAGATCTTTTTGAACAATTCATTGAAACAACAAAGAAAATTGTGGTACACTCATGCTATTTAAAAAACACAAACAGTCAACTTTCATCCACTTTTCCTGCTATACTTTTAACAAAGGATAGTCACCAGCAGTCAGATCACGTCAAGCAAGCACTGTGACTAGTCAAACTGGGTCAACAGACAAAGCAGGCAAGTTGTGATCTCAGCTGTTTTATCACTCAACTGGAGTCAAAGCATTGCTGTATCAAGTATCTTTAATAGGCCAAACCAATCAATACTGGTTTATGCAGCCTAGGAATCATTAACTGTGGACAAAGTCACCTGTTTCATTTTGAAGAAAAAAAAATATGGCCCAAAATGTTTGTTCGTGATTATGTCCTTTAACAGCATTCCCTTGTACACAAACATGGCTGAAACTACATTGTAAATGCCTTTAAAATAAAAAAAAATCTTTTTATCCATATGAGAAGAATTCATGCCAAAATTGATTTGTCGATTCTCACTGAAGTTGAAGCCTTCCCTACAGACAATGCTGGAGACTTGTTCATTATAATTATCGAGGAACAATTCATGATGGCCCCTTTTTTTGCATCTATTTTTAATTAAATTACACGTTATTATTCATATCTTTTCAACAAATCAAATCTCGTGGAATAATGTACACACTGCACTTTCTATTGGGATAGTTGCAATAAGTATTGACCTAGAGTGACACTTATAGGACTTATAGCAGTATATACCTGAAGTGGTATTGAGACTGATGTACAACAGGGGGAATTCCCTTGCTGCAGTTGTTTTTGCATCAGCTGTTGTTGCAGCTGTCCATGCTGTTGCTCCAGATTTGGCTGTGGCTGCTGCTGTTGCTGCTGTTGTTGTTGCTGCTGTTGCTGCTGCTGTTGTTGCTGCTGTTGTTCTTGCTGTTGTTCTTGCTGCTGCTGCTGCTGCTGTTGCAGTGACTGATGTTGCAGATTTTGCTGTTAAGAGAGTATACGTTCAGAATAAAATATTAGTTAGCCATCCATGAAACATTAGTCAACCGTTCCAGAGTGCATTTGTACAGCCTAGAGGAAGTACTGGTATTGATATAAAGACTAGCTCTAAAAGCCGCTTCACACTTCATGCAAAAGAATAAGTGAGGCCAAATTTGTGAGGTCAACAATGAGTTTATGACATGAATTTTCATTTTGCACTTGCTCTAGCCGGATGTTTGAACTGGCCTTAACTAACAAATAGATATAGACACCAAGCACAAATCAAGTGTTTATCAAGTCCTGTGCTCTGATTGCTGTACAGTATGTTAACATGCTTAAGATTATCCAAATAAAAACAAATGAGAAGCATATAAAAGACAAATTATCCTGATCAGCAATACATAATATACAATTTTAGTATCACCACTTTTGCGAAAAAAATGCTTGATATGATTGTTAGATTTCTGTCTACATAGGATACAACTGTAGTACATATACATACGCATGTTGTTATTAGCTTACTGCATGATAATATTCTGCACTACATGTAGGTATCCTAAAAATAAGTTAATTTGAACAGAATGAATATCAAATACCTTATTAAGTACATTTTGCACTTACCTCTGCATTCTCTGTCTCTGATGGGGATTTTTTTCTTGCTTTCTAAAATATAAAAGCAGCAAAGTTGGACAAGCATGAGAGTTAAAGAAACAAACCAATAAACAGTCAGACAGATATACAGACCCACTCACGGCTAGCTATTAAACGTGTTTGTCCGGACGTAGACAGAGAAAGATCCGAAAACTTTGATTTCTCTGTGAGTACGAGTACTTTGACATTCAAGTACGAATATGAGTACCATACATGTATGAGTACAAATTCTCTGAAAAAGTACTCGAGTAGTACTTAAGTATGAGTATCGAGTACAAGTACTACAACAATGCCTTTTCCCAGGATGTAGTGACTACGGTGAAATTTCAAAGCTATTGAAATCAAGCCCAATCACTGAAATAGCACTCTGCACTAATGTTGCTGTGCTGTTTCCCTAGATGTCGGACAAATGTACGTTACTGTTATTTTTGTCCTATCCAAGTCCTTTCGTCCATAGATGGCAAAAAAAAACCCCAAAACAATCAAGCATGAGATAACTTGCGTGACATCACAATGTTCAGTCTCTATTTTTAGCATTAGTGCGGAGTGTTATTGCAACATGTGCACCCATACACACTGGTTACAGCTGCTGAGTTGTCTTGTCATCATTGCTCCGGATGACAATGTAACACTAGTTGTATTTTCCATGATTTTATTAAAAAGTATACAGGTACATGTACATCAGAGCTATAGTGCTCTGGCACTGTTGCTCGGACTTACAGAGGGACAAAAAAGTGGAATGAACTATGTATGACTAGTCTTGACGATATTGCTGATATATTTTGGGGAAAAAAAAATAAAAATGAAAATAAAACTTAATCATTTTTCTTGAACTCTCAGCTGAATAGCATAAAAGAAAATTATTTCAAGAAAATTACTCGCTCAACACATTGAAGCTCATATTCAAGGTGCCTGGAAGTTAGGTTTCTTGTAAAGTTTGATACCGTCTTTGGGTCGTCTTACACTCTCTCTGTTTGATTTTACAACCTGAACTATGTAAATGTCATGTTTGCACCCATGACTGATAGAGACATGTTACTGAGTGACTGAGCCCATTAATAATTATGATTCATATTGCTTCAACAAACATGGAAAATAAAATAGAAGAATCATAAATGTACATGTACCTCCTGCCTTGACTTTTGTCTTGCTATCCTTCGTTTTTCAGTCCTCCATTGCTTCTCCCTTGCTTTGTAAGCAGCATTCTTCTTTCTCTTTGTCTTATTCTGTTGTGAACTAACAGCACAGCAAGCCTTTGCAAAGACAACAGAAATTGTAAGTTATTACACTACATGTTGTAACTTGCTAATACTGTCAACAAACAGTCATAAATACCTACATGTGTAAGACAGTTCACCCTGTATTGGTCAAGAGCCTGTCCCGTGGCCGGTCTTAAACGGATGATAAAGACATGGCTAGCTGGTCTTCAACACTTTTCGAGTGCCTCCTATGATATCCAGTGCCAGCACCTTTTTAGGGGGTTGGGGTTGGGGTTGGGGGTTGGGGGGTTGGGGGGTTGGGTGGGGGTTCGACTGTGCATAATCCTCATGTAGGCATCCCAACCACCCCCTCCCACAAAAAAGGAACAAAATAAGGTGTAGGGAATGTCAAAAATAGGGCAGGTATGGTAACTGGTAGCAGAAGTACATGGATCAACATTTTGTTAGCCTAATTGGTGAAATATTAAACTATTCAATGAGGTGAATGGGACCTTTCCGTCTGCCATGTACATATATACATGTACATGTAGTTCCAACAAACAAAAGTATTGTATCCATTACACACACATTTAAAGTATATAACACTTCCATCCACACGTAAGTACATGTATGCATGAAAACTAAAAGTCAGTTAAGTTTATCAAATGTTGTAACATATCATTTAAAGTTAGCATTGGCTTAGTCCATACAGCACAGTTATTTGCTGAAAAGAAACATCACTTTGAAGTTACATGGGACACATGACATCATCTTACGATCTTATATCTGTAGAACAGTAATTGCGATTGGTTGAAACTCAGAATGTAGCTAGACTGAGATAGGTGTTTCGAGTAAAAATTACGCTAAAATTATGAAGACGCCATCAGGTGATTTTATAGATTTTTTGAAGTTCGCCTAATTTGTACACGTAGCACAAATATACACTGTAATGTCATTAAGTCATAAACAAATAAAGCTTCCATTTAAATGCTGGTTTAACAAAAAATTCACTGTTTATGCTGATTAACTTTGCTTGTGTTGGTATTTTGGAAAAAGTGATTTGATTTCCCATCCTGCTTGGATTCCCAGTTATATAGAACGGACAAATATTGGACATCTAGTGTCATAACAACATTGATGGTCTAGTCTATTTTGGAATGAAGGAGTACACTGTACACATGTACATGTACATATAATACATTCATGGTTATGTCTTTTTAAAATACAAGTACACACCTGTTCAGTTGGTGGCGTAGGTGGAATAACATCTTGCTCATTATCTGATGACATGTTTAGTCTGTATCAAAATGAAATAGAAATTAAGAACAGTAAATACATCTTACATGTATGTTTGTGGACAAACACGTCACATGGCTGTTTCGCAAATTTATTTAGATTAATGGGACTTATGCATGTGCATTAGAATAAGGCAGATTGATCTGGATAGTTCTATGGATAAAGGCCTTCAAAAATTCAACTCTAATTCACTGTCACTTTAAAGCCAATTATGCGATCATGATGTCACACAAATGTTGCCATAGCAAACACATCCCCGCTTGTAAGTGAAAACCAAGTTACAACTAAAACTGACCTCTAGTTCTGCAGTTATAAAAGCCAGAGAAAAATGAACATTTAAAGTGAGATTTCATTTAAGGATAACATCATGATGATGTAACATAACAGTTTATCTGTACCACACGGTTATTCTTGTACATTCTTGAGGTTGTTGCTAACATTACAATCCATTTTTGTAATTCACTGTTTAAGGGAATTGCACAACAATTGTATGCATTTTTTGTGCTTTGTTCTTTATGTATTTTCTTTATCTGATTTATAGCTTTCAAGGTATGTTTTTTAAATGGAAATCAAGTTAAGAATATTAATGTATTACGGTATGATTCCAATCTTGTTAAACTTGTAAAGTAACATGAAATGTTAGCACAGAACCAGACAGAGATTTGTCACAGTAAAATAAAAATTCAGAAAGCAGTATGTGGACATCACTTGTTGTTATGTGTGGAGACCTAGCGTTTTTTTTTTTAAAGAGGTGAAGGATTCAGCAGTTTTCCTGCAAAATGTGACAGCTCAGGAAACGATTTGTGATGGCTGATAGGTCACTGCAGCGCAAAATTAGTGATGTCCAAGTTATGGGAAGTGTGTAGATAAGAGGCTCACATGTGATCAATTTGCAACCAGTCAAACACCTTTTCTATATACATGTAATTCAAAGATCTGGGGGATTTTTTACTAGAGCAGATATCCCACATATCAACTCATCACGATCATATGATATGCCTAAAACCACCACACTGTGCTTCCGTACAAGGCTGGTCCCCAGACCAAAAGACTAAGATTCATCAGATATAGTTTTGGTCTAGAATGCAAACTAGCTTCCCTACCATCATTAGCCCCAGTACCGCAGTGCTGCAATGTGTTGGTTAACATCAATACCGATTTCAGGTAAGAACGTCACATTTAATATTTTGTGCAAGTGTAATATTCACAACATACATGGCTCTGACTAATCCTCACTCATTGATGATCATGGCCATTAGGAGATCTATGGAACTCCATTCCACAATCAGTTCCACGCTCCACCTCAATACATATGTTTAAATCCTCACTTAAATCCTACCTGTTCACTTGATTCATGTTAATGTTCTTTTTTGGTTTTTCCTACTATCAGAGGTGTCCTTGGTTGCACTTTGTAACCTTTGGAAAAGGCGCGTTATAAATGTTATTATTATTATTATTTTGCTGATGATGTTGGACATATATCACCACAAATCGAACATGTCCCTTACACATGTATCAGTACATGTACACATGGACCTGTACTTATGCGTCTTTTTTTTCTCTGACAATTGCAAAAACCTGTATAGTTTCACACATCCGACAGTACTTACAATGTACATGTACAGTGTACATGTCCATGCGGTTGCACCAATGGGCATACGTGTCCAGGGCGTGCAGCTGTGTGCACAGCCACATTTTTTTTTTAAGTAAGTGTGCACACAGCTACATGTAACGCGTACATACTACAGATCGTACGTTACTTGAATGTGTGACATTCATTAGTTTCATAAACTGCACTGTGGCAAAACAAAAGTTAAAATCAATTCATTGATTACTTATTGTCAGCCAAATTCTTTCTCACTAGCAAAACTTATGCAATGTTAAAAATTTAGGCCTATTAATTCAGTTTCAAAATCTGCAGTATTTTTTTTGGGGGGGGGGTACCTCATCCAAATATGTTTGTATTTCTTTGAAAATAAGGTTGGTAAAATTATAATATTGTCTGAGCTTACAGACTTTGTAGGACAACAAAAGAGATGCACTAAAATATAAGGGTCCCTTAACACTACGGAATTGTTAGACGCTATTCTTCAATGGTGCTGCACTATCTGTCCATTGTGAGGGATATTATTTAAATAATGAATGTTTTTGAGTGCAATGGTAAGAATATTTTCAGGAGTTGAAAGATTGGAGTTGAATGGAACATGCAATCTTTCAACGAATGAAATTATTCTCAACATTGCACAAATTATGCAAACATTCATTATTTGTTTTATATAACATCCAAGTAGATCTCTGTCATTTGATTGGAGGATTAAACTTGAAGACCAAACAAAACTCACAAAATTGTATCACCTCCACTGCTTTTTTTCTCCAGCTTATTGAAAGCTAACAAAGGTTAAGTCAAATCATTGACAATAATGAAAATTAGCATTGTAAGTTCTTCAAAAAATGCAAAACATCATAAAGGCAACTGCATCAACTTCAAGGGAAAGTTTGGTACTGCCATAACGCATGATAATTTTTGGTCCTATAGCGCTGGGCCGCTGCACGTCTGAAAGGGTGCATGGCATGCAATAGATCAAAAGGGATGGGACGAAAATGCACGGTGCATGGAACCAAAAGTGCAGTTATGACGTAGGCCATGCAGTGGTTCGTTTAATGAATGCCGCGTGACCTACAATCCTCCAATCAAATGACAAGGATATGCTTGGGTGTTACATAATTTGGAATTGACTTACATGTACCTTTCAAAAGTTCCCCCAGGCGTTCAACTAGTGGCAATGGAATTTGCCAAACATCTCACATAGTCAAATGATCGCGCACACCATGCAGAATTCTGTAAAAAAAAAAAAACACACTCCTTTCTTACTTATTGGATAGAATTCCAGAATGTATGTTTTTATAATTCAATTTTTTAATAATACGACCATGAAGTAATCTACATGTACCAGTAGGACCTATGGTTTGGAAATCAGGATTGTTTTAGTGTGTTTCTCTCTTGACCACCAGTAAATACACTTTAACCCTTTAATTGATGTGATTACAAACTTGCTAAACCAGTATGCACAATAAGACATTTCATTAACATAGATAAGGGGGATTTAAATTGAAATTAGGTACTTGTCAAAGAATTAAAGAATGGATTTTTAGTGAAAAAAATATGACAAGATGTGGTGTAGATTCAGTACTTTGATGCTTCTTGTAAAGAAAACAGGAGGAATTTACCCAGTACATGTACTTGTACATCAACTTAAAGGTTCACATATTTTCAAAATTAGCTATTTGAAATGAAATTGATCAAACTACAACATACATGTACAGGTCTGTACATGTATATCAATAAAGGTACAGGATCATGTACCTTGAGCACAATGTTACTCAGTTACATTGGATTCTGCCATGATCTGGGTATTTCTGCTGCTTCCCGCACAAACAAACAACAAACTAACTATTGTTCAATCATAACAACCAAAATGGCAGCTTCAACGAACAAGTGGGGTGTACGCAGACATAATTTTAACTGATATAAATAAATGGAGATTATGTATCGGTAGATGAGGACACTATTTTTATTTAACAAAAATTCGCTTCTAAGCTTCTTAGGCTAAGTAGATGACGATGACACCGGGTTGAATATCTGCAGGATTAATTTTGTGGAAAGAGGACAGAGCTTTGGTTTTGAAGGGAAATATTATTATGGATAAGGTAAACAGCACATAACTGTGACAAAAATACAAATTCTACAAATAAACATGGCAATAGTTTTAACAAGATCAAGCTGGTTTAATAGATTGCCAGTGATTGGTTGATGTAAATGTACCAGAACACTGTGCTTCCCCAAGTAATAACCTGGTTCCCAGAGAAAAAATTTTGGTCTGGACATCCGTTTAGCCTCCCTACCAGCAAAAAGGCCTACATGTATTGCGGTATCATGGTGCAGCAGTGTACACTTTGCTTGTGTGTCATTTCTGATGCTACCAAGTGCTTTCTGGGAATTGAGGTACATGTTACAAGGTACAGTGTACCATATTCTTCGAACTGACTATTCTAAATTTTAACACTTTTTGAATACATTTTAACTTTCTGATGGCTGGTAGGTCGCCGCAGGGAAAAAGTGATGGTCAGATTGGCAGGAGAATCTTTCCATAGAATTGAGGAATATCTCGTAAAATATATCCCCCTCTGTAGCCACTTAAATGTGGCCAATTTACTGGACTACCTCTGTAAGTAAAGGCCACACTGGCAACAAAAACCCCAAAATGTAGGCAAATATATTTCATGAAATAATGTATTTTAAGAGCACATTATGAGATTCGATTCCAGAAAGCAACAAAACGATTCTTAAATTTTGGCAAGCAAACAATCCGGTAATTTTCGGAAAAAAACTCTGCTCTGAAAAGCTTAGCCATGCACTTTTCGGAAAAAACTCTGCTCTGAAAAGCTTAGCCATGCACTTTGTCTGCAGAATTACAAGTGGCACAACCCACAATTTTTACATGACCCGTCAATCACACACAAGCCAGATGCGCGCAGTACTTCGTGTTGTATTAGTTCTTGCCGTATGTTTGATATTTTTGCGATCTGGCGCTGGGCTGAACGCATTATATTTCAATGTACATGTTCATGTGGTAACAAAACGACGGTGATATGGTGCGCCAAAAAGAAAACGCATATCAGGATATTACTGTCCAGAGTTGTAACGAGTCACTGATTTTTGTGACTCGACTCGACTCGAGTTGAGTCATTAGGTCGAGAAGGTGGAGTTGAGTCGAGTGAACAAATATGTGCGCAGTATAGTACGCTCTGAATACATGTAACCGGTCAGCGTCGTTTACGTATTCCGCATGCGCCCATGGAGTCGAGGCTGACTTTTCCATAAACTCAAGTTGTCCCAAGTCGAGTTGTCTCAACGGTTGAGTTGTCTCAACAGTCGAGCTGTCCCGAGTCAAGTTGTCTCAACGGTCAAGTTGTAGAACTATATTTTAGTCAACCCCATAGGTAGGCATATCAATGCTACCGGTATTAAATTAATTAACCCCAACTGCCATGAATCCTTCAAAATCCTCTTTGCCAAAGTGGAGGAATTTAGAGGATTGAGGTTACATGGAAAAAGTGCGTTACTGACCTCGTAGGATGCAATTTGTTAAGGTCTTGGGGAAAAATATAGGCCTGGATTATGCTTGAAATCCTTCGTACTGCTCCAGGATGTCACTGGCCCAGCCTCAACGTATTGACAGTCACCGCCACAGGATTTTGCAGGATTCTGGCAGTGGTCACTCACCCCTCCATGGACCATGTTCAAGAAATAATGAAGGACTTTGCAGGATTGAGGCTATGCTATTTTTCCCATAAAGCCAATTGGAAGATTTTGCAGGATTGAGGCTACATCCTAGCAAAAAGGACAGGGAGTTAGGGTTTTAAACATCCCTAATATTGCAGACAACGTCCGAGAAAACTGAATTGGATTTTTGCAATTTTTGATAAGGCCGCTGTATATTTTACCACAAAACAACGTCTGGTACTTCTTGACATATTCACGTTCAGTTCACAAAAGGGGAACGTTTTGAATCGATCCCAATGGTGCCAAAAATGATGAAAATTATCCCCTTCCCGTACCAAGCAACATGAACACGGAGAAGTTACATGCACTGATACATGTATCCGAGATCAGCTGCATTTGACTTGAGCATGGCTCCTGGCTAGACTGTTTTCCATCCCCCCTAAAAATATAGGAGTCAGAGGACAATGGGGATAGGGAACTAGACTAGCTCCTGATAGCATCAGACGGACCAATCACAGGGTGCTTCGATTAGTCATCTTGATTGGTCACCATTATGGACCAATCACATGGCGTCTTGATTGGGCAACTCCACAGCGACCAATCGAACCGCCTTGCGATTGGTCCGTCTGATGCTAGCCAGGAGCTGGTCTGGTTCCCTGTCCCCATTGTCCTTCAGACTCCAGGGGGCTTCAGCTTTTAGGGGGCTGGGAAACAGTCTAGCCAGGAGCCATGCACAAGTCAATTGTAGCCATATAGCTGTATAACTGCAGCCGATCTCCAATTATGTGCATAACTTCTCCATGTTGCTCGGAACAGAAAAGAGGTAATTTTTATCATTTTTTGCACCATCTGGATCGATCAAAATCATATACCTTTTGCGAACTGAACGAGAGTATGTAAAAAAAAAATGATGTAGTTTTGAGGTAATAGGTACAGCGGTCGTACCAAAAATGGCAAAAATCCAATGCAGTTTTCTCAGTCATTATCTGCAATTTGTTCACATTGATATGCCTACCCACAGGTCTCGACTAAAGCCCCATAGTTTGGTGATCGTGTAGTGTAGGGCCCACTGATCTCTATATAAAGATAGCGAATTGAATTCATTGTGCGGCTCCAGTCTTTAAAGAGATCAGTGATAGGTCCCCTGTCTAGCTTCGATCAAATTAGGCCAAATAAAAAAAGAAAGATGTTTAACGTTTCCGCCCGCTTCCTTTTTGGAGGCCGCCTCTTTTTTTTTTTCTTCTTCCTCTTTTTTGAACACAAAAAAAATTATAAAATTTAAACAGTGACATCATTTTGGCCTCTTTGTTTGTTGCTTCTAGCGCATATAAAGCTGGCACGTCGTTCCTGATCGAAGTAGCACCATTTAAAAAACCTGGCAACAGGTGGCCATTGTGGAAGGGGGGAAAAAAAGTCCACTTTTTTCCTTCTACCAAAAACGCAGGACACTGAACATGTTTTTTTTTGTTTATTTGGGGGTTTTTTTGGGCTCAAAAATGACCTTTTCCACCTAAAGCAGACTTCTCTTTATAATAATGACACCTTTTTTTGGTCATTTTTGAACAGTTTTTTTGGGTAGGAATTACGAATTTCCCACCTGGTTTACATTTTGTGCCGTGTGATTCAGGGCACCTTGCATGTTAAGGGTACATCGCGCGGTGATCGATCTGTATTTTCGTGTCGCGTTTTGTCGTTATTTTACCCCCAAATTTCCCCCAAAACTCAAAACCCTGCCCTTTTTATCTATGACAAACCTACATGTTCTTAATGTTGCCAACTAGTTTGGTAGGTAAAATAATTTAAAAGTGAATTTTGTTTTCCCTTACCATGCTTACAGGAACCGGGCCCGTTGCGATATACCCGTAATTTGTAAATGTTCATAGATGTGAACGCTTGTTGAATCAAAATATGATGTAAAGTCTCTAATTCGCCAACGAATGACCATACATGTATGCCTTTGCCTAGTTCCGGATAGCGCGTGCACTTATGACCCAACTACACGCGCGTTTTGTGCGACGTTTTCTGTGCTGGGTCAAACATTTCGGTCCGTGCGTGAGTTTGAGCCATTGCGCTGCGTACAAAAACTTCAAAATCATTTACGTTTTTTTTTTTTTTAATTTGCTCGAATTCTCTTGAATGAACTATTTTTGGTAAAGGAAAAAATATATTTTATCCAAAAATAGCTTGATTCGGTTGGTTCTGGCTGAAAAAAAAAAAAAAAATTCTCGCATGGTTTATTTTTTTCGCGTGAAGTAGTTTTGATCGATTTGGAACTGACTGAACCGATCCAGCATGTCCAGAACTAGGAAAAGTGACATCGGTACTTTTGACGTCGTAAAATCAAAATAAAAAGAGCTTAAATTTTGAAAATTATTTTGTGGTCTCTCCATCACTCAAGGTACACTTTTTAATCAATGTCACTTGAATTCGTGGAGTAGTTGAGCAAAAAGCAGCCTGAATGATGTTTGCTATCCAGAACTAGGAAAACGACTGTACTATCTTTATATTCTAACATAAAACAATTGACGTGACAAGACAATAAATAACTAAACCTAATCGCAAATAGCAAAGTACACTGCTGCGCAAAGCATTATGGGTAGGATAAGGGGGCAAAGAACCACGCACAAATGCCGTGTTCGAATGCGCATGCCGTCATCGCCGTGTGAAGACATGCGGCATACACGTTGACGGCGTACACACGCGGTCAATGCCCCTGAATCTTCCCGTGATGCTCTTGGATTTTGCTATTTATTTGCGATAAGGTTAAGATATAGGGAAATTGTAATTTCTACCCCAAGAAACTGTTTTAAAAATTGCAAAAAAGGTGTCATTGTAAATTGAGAGAAGTTTAAGCTTTAGGTTGAATATGTCATTTTTGACATATCAATCGATCGAATACAGGGGTCGTACTAATAAGCGTCAACACAGCATCAACACATGATAGAAGCGTCAACGCATTAGCGTCAATGTTGTGCCCATTCTTGAAAATCACGCATTCTCGAGAATGGGCATGCACATTCTTGAGAATGTGCAACTGGATCCTTGCTCAATCTTGGCAAAAAATAACTCTTCCAGATTGAGCGCACATTCTCGAGAATGCGCGACAAGATAACGGTCTTGTCGATGCCGAGCACCGGCTGCGCTTGGCAAGTCTAGCTGAATCCTCGTTCACTGATTCTCAATAATTATACTGTTGCAACGCAAGGCTCTGAAAAGTAGAGTGGATATGATAAGTAAAGGCGTATTAATATGGGGGGGGGGACCGGGAAAATATAAGAGACATAATAATACTAGTGCAAAGAATTCCTATGTTTGGGATAATAAAAGCGGGGGGGGGGGGGACGTAAGAATGAAGAATGTGAAGAATGAGAATGAATACTGCGACATCCCATAGTGCTAATGCTATTTCCCATTTAAATTGCCACCAATTTATTGTTCACATCCCACCATAACGTCGCAGAGCTGGATTCTATCTAGTCAAAAGAGCAATTTTGGCAGCTTCTGGACATCGTTTTTTTTTTTGTGGCACGCATATGATACATGCAGGGACTTGTAACTTGTCTAGCCTAAACAAAGCACTTCCCAGACTAGTTCCCAGTCCTCCGTTATTACAAAACTTCCCATAGTGGGCAGAAAAAAGCAATAATAACAGGTTTAATTTGATTCAAATTATCGTAATTATACGAGTACAGAAGCATAGCACATTTTCTTTCCTCTTTATATGAATTGTTTCCCTTTTAACCGCTATACAATTCATTTAACATAATTATGTCGTGCAATGTTTGTTAAGATTGGGCAAAATTCATAAATTGTGCACGTGATATTCCCAACCAATCTTAAGAATGAGCGCTCATTCTTAAGAACGCGTGCTCGTTCTTAAGAATGGGCGCTCATTCTTAGAATGCGCGCCCATTCTCGAGAATGTGCATGCCCATTTTCGAGAATGCGTGATTTTCAAGAATGGGCACAACATCAACACACCGTCAACACTGCCAAAACACATTCTAAATTGACAAAAAAGGCATAGAACTTTAAAGTTTAGACTTAGTTATTTTTCGATGGGTCAGAGGTTCCATTTCGTTTATGAAAATGGAGTTTTTTTCACACGAAAAAAATGATCCGAAGCAGCACTGCCGTTGTCGGCCATCTTTGCCTTTGCACCGAGCTTGGACTCCACCATTTCAGATATGGGTGTGGAGGTAATGAACTTATCATGTCGTATACGGATTCACACGTAACGACCACCCTCTGTTGATTTATTGTATAATGATATTACCCCTTTTGCGTAATGGTATCGTCTGCGCTGCCCCTGAAGTAACCTGGCTGCCGTTTTGGCACTGCACTGAGAACCAATTTTCTTCAACAGAAAATTACAATTTTCTGACGTTTATCCTATTGATTTTGAGCAAAAATTTTATTTCTGTCCAAAGGACGATTTGAACACTGGTTTTGTCAATTTAAATGCATTTGGGAGGTGTTGACACTGTGTAGCCTTGGTCAATGCTCTCGTCGTTATTCGTCCCGTACGTGGTCAATCGTCGGCATATATCCTCACGCGCTATGCACATGCATGTAAAAATACAGCGCGAACAGCGACCTCACGCGGCCACTATTTGATATGCAAATCAGTTGGGGACGATCTCGAGCCTTGGTTCAATCGTCGGCAAAAGCTTATATTTTTCTTTATTTTGAGCTGGATTTTTAGCGCACGACCTCGTATGCGAATACAGATAGGCGGGGCTAATATGTGGAGTGTCCAATCACACCTTGGTAAATCCGGACGTCATCAAATTATTTGCAGCTATTCGCCTTTTGCGGACGTGACAGGAACCAAAGCTTTTGTGCATTGGTGCCGTGTGCAGAGACACACAACGTGTACGTGTATGGATTATGTACGGTGCCACGTTTCACTGTGCAAGTTTCCATGCAACGATCGACCAATAAGAAAACGACATTTAAGGTCAGCTAAGGCTATTAACATAATGAACACCACCCCAAAAACCTCACATGGACGATTGAACCAAGGCTCTCGATCGTCCCCAACTGATTTGCATAAAAATAGTGGCCGCGTGAGGTCGCTGTTCGCACTGTATTTTTACATGCATGTGCATAGCGCGTGAGGATATATGCCGACACACCGCGTACGGGACGAATAACGACGAGAGCATTGACCAAGGCTAGACACTGTGATGCTCCACGCAGCATCATCACTGATCATAGTTCTAGGAGTAAGACCAAGACTGAGAGGGCAGGGCTTTGATTTTTTGAGGGAAATCTGGGGGTAAAATGACGATGACAGCGCAGCGACAACACGCGACCCAAAAATAAAGATGGCGATCACCGCGCGATGCATGTACCGTGAGCACGCAGGATGCACGTGAATCGCAAGGCACAAACCGCACAGGAAAATTTAGCCCCACTAGTGTGGCCGCGGTATGCTGCGCTGAGGTTCAGCGCAGCATACTGCGGCCACACTAGTGGGGCTAAGGAAAATCCTGATTTTTTTTCTGCCTTTCTACCCCAAGCATCTGTTCGAAATTGCAAAACGGGTGTCATTACTTTAAAATTGAGAAAAAGTCTGCTTTTGATTGAAAAGGTTATTTTTGAGCTATAAAAAACATTTTGACTCTAATTTGATCAATACAAAACAGGGGCCCTTCAAGTTCATGACAGTACACTGCACGATCGGATCGATCGCCGACAATTTTTTCCATTTAGGCCTAGGCCTAGGCCTATAGTCTATACATACATGACATATGATCATGATTAATAATTGCATTTGCAAGACGAGAATCCTATTCCTACCACTACAGCTTACCATTAACAAAGTTGAGATCATGCTAAGTAATGGGCTCGATGAGTGTGAGTATCACAATGGGCGAAAAGCAGTACATGTGTATTTATAAAATTATATTGTTGAAAATAGTCACTGTTTGTCGGATCATTCGCGCGTACGAATACCGCATACATGTACAGCACATGTGGCATGCACAGCCAGCGAACATCCGGTTGTGTTGACCTCTCTGCCGATGTAGGTCGGAAGAGGGCGGTACGTTAAAATGTGATATGCTCTCAATTGGTCAATTGTGACATGTACACAAAATAAGAAGGAGACTGGGTTGTGTATTCAGCATGCTGCACAAACACAGCGCCCTCTACTGGATGAACATTGTAAGGGCCACATACTAGTACGAGTCGGTTGTTAATCTGCAAGCAAAGCATAGACGCTTGCCGTGCACGTCTCCATAAGACTACATTCCGAAACTATGAAAAATATGTAGGAACACGTAGGTTATTTTAAAATAGAAATCATTAAATGAGTAAAATGGCGGATCAAGAGACTAAATTACCGAAGTTTTTCAACACGAAATAAGTTTACTTGAGAGTATATCTTCTGCTTTTAAAATGCAATATCATGTTGTATTTTGTGTACCCGCGGCCTTAATACTAAAACATGTAAACAACATTACAGAAGAACAAAACGCTTACTTGTTTTTCTTCTTTTATTAAAAAATACAAAACATTTCAATTACAATTAGGCCTATTCATTTGAAAGCAAAATGTTGTCATGCGAAATTACCAAAATTTAGCACGCTACTCAGTAATGATGCAGGCTATTTCTAACGCCTATTGCTTCAGGAGCTTTTACTTGGAAAGGCTACATCATCTAAGAGCGCAATTGCAGATATTTAAAAATGAGAAACAGAATATTGTCACAAAGTTTATGTACAACAACGATATCGGCCCCCTACCCCGGCCCCGTGCACCACCCCTGAACCCCACGCGTGGTTTTAATTAGTGTTCAAGAATCCCATCTGATCTGATATTCAACATGTGACCAGCTAGCTAAAGTAACAATTGTTGGGATGCACTGTGCCCATTTCTCGGTCTAGGGAGACTCATAGAAACTTGGTTTGGTATCTTTACCCATGTTTCGGGTCAGAGACATTGGTTTATTTGCTTGAATTTCAAAATGGTTAGCAAGCAGCCGAAATTGCTTGTGTCCGTATCTTGATCACTGAGACTACAGGGGCTCGCTTGATTCTGGTGTTTAAAGTATACCCATGATGATTTCATGGTCGAGGAGCCAATACACCGAAAAAGAGTTCAATATACATCATAACAAAATGATTAATTAGACAAATCCAGGTTACAGATATTGGATATTAAGATTTTTAAACTCCAAACGAAACTGAGTATACATGTCATATCTTTTAAATTTAAATCGAAAGCCATGATAAACCACTCTGGAAAATGAATCAAGGTCTACATGCTGGTTTCTGTCTTGGGGTCGGTGTGTGGTGCCGGGGTGGCACCGTCGCCTTTGCCCACCATACACCTGCCGATAACCACGCCGATGACCAAGGCAATCACAAACGTGAGCGGGATGATCCAGGCTAGATGGACCAAGGGAGAGGCGCCAGCGAGCGGCTCTTGGCAAGGAGGAGGTCCACCGGTGCCTTCACCCTGCCGCGACCTCGGCGGCCAAACGCCGCAGGTTGGGAAAGCGTCCGGTACGGGAGGAACATCCCCGCGGACATTGAAAAGCAACGCCATGCCCTCCTGAAAACAACAAAACAAAGATCAGACAACTATCCGTGACTGACTTTTGCCAAAGGATCGATTGGCTTGTTGATTTGAACGGCACCTTTTTTGTGTCTACATGTAATTTCAGGCCTGCTCTGCTATCCTTTTGTTAAACAACAGGGAAACATACACGTATCTGAGGTTAATGGAGCAATGGGAACGAATATTGCGGTGTTCAACTTTTCATGAACTAACAGGAAAATTATGATTTATTACATACATTGGAGCATTTAGAAAACACTGTTAAACATTGTGGCACTCTACGGGATCTTACACTGACTGAGGCCTACTTAACTTAAGAACTTTTAAACACATTTCCCATACGGCAGAGTGCTCTTCGGCAGATTGTTCTTCTTAATAGTCAACTCTTGATGTGCATGTGTAGAATGATTAGAGGACTATTTTTTTTACGACAATGTGTCAGTATTAAATGCACTCATGACTACATACAAAATGTGAGATTCTCAGCTTCAAACTGTGGATAATCATACCTATACCTTGAGGTCACTTTAAATAAGCTTATAACTGGAGCAACCACATTGTCAAAGCTGTCACCAAAGCCAACAAAACCCTAGGTCTTATAAGACGTAATGTTTATCATTGCAACCAAGTAGTTAAAGCTATGACATACAAGACTTTCGTCAGACCACAGTTCGGCCTACAGTATAGTGTTCAACCATCTGAGATCTTCATCACCACACTTTAAACATTGACGCTTTGGAAGCTGTTCAAAACCAGGCTGCTTAGATTTGTGACGAGAGATTTCAGTATTTCTTCAATGGTTCCAGACCTTACATGGAAACGACTCGAAGAGAGAAGGCTCGGCGCCAGACTGATCCTCTTGTTCAGGGGCGTAAATCCGGGGGTGGGGGGGGGGGGTATATATCCACCCCACTTTTTGACCGGGGGGATGGGCCACTGCATCACCTCCCCCCCCCCAACTTTTCGTGTTGAGAAACCCCCCAAAAGGCGGATTTTGAGGTTATTTTCGAACTTCTTAACAAGCAAAGTGTATTAATAGTACTGAAAAAGGGAATATAAGTACCAAAGCTTTAAATGCGCCGTTCTGGTGTAAGGTTAAGGGGCGTAATTAAGATGCACATCTGTATCATGTACAGCGCCCGTAGTGTAATGTGGTGTCCAGCAAGCCAAGGCCCCCCCCCCTTTTCGAATTTTCCACGGCTGGGAAATTTTGTAATTTTAGTCATCCTCCATCCCCCCCCCCCCAGTCCCCGGCACAGATTTACGCCACTGCTCTTGTTCAAAGCACACCATCCGCTTGTCTCCATCAATGTCAACATTGCAAGTTCTCCGTCAATACCAACCAAAGACGATTACACTATAGACAACACTCAGGCCTGTCATTCTCTCGTCCTCAAACAAATAAGGATCGCTACAAAATTAATGATCCTCCTTGAGAAGAACTGTAGCCCAATGGAACACTCTACCGGTACATTATTAGGGACTCCTCAAATCTAACTGTCTTCAAATCCAAAAGCAACAACGGAAATCTCCTCACACTCACAAGGGGGGGGGGGGGCTCTTAATTAAAATGCTGCTAGAACCGCGTCTGTGCCCTGTGTGCAGGATATCCTATCAATGAGTTTGCACCATTGATCTCCATATATGGAGATCAATGGTTTGCACACCGTATTCTACAGATGTAGACTTGATTCAAGCTTGCATCGGGTCTAAATATATACTCGTCACTTGTTAGTCTGGTTCCCAGACCAAAAGATTCTGACTATTCCTGATGAATCTTAGGTCAGGTACTACCTCCGGTAATACATTGTATTACCATTTACGTCTCGTGACTAAAACGGGAGGAATTCCTCCTTTTTCCGAAAATGTCCGAAGTTTGCCAAGTTCATTTCGTCGACAATCGGATAGCGCCCGAAAATTTCCGAGTATAATATAGGTTTAATTAACTGCTAATTGCTTATTAAAAACTTGTTAAAATGAGTTGATAAATACTATTCATTGCTTTCATTAAGAAAACTTGAAATTCAACGACGATTTTGTACATCAAGTATACTCGGATCGTATGGGGGAACTTTTTGCTGCGTCATGTACTATTTTGAATTTGACGACCGTTACCGAGATTTTCCAAAACTCGGTCTTCATTCGGCTCCGCCTGCTAACAGTGCTATTTGGGTGCCTAATTTTGAAGATTCCAGATCAACATTAGTCAATGTTATCTTATAGAAATATCAAACTGTATTATCATAACTGTATGATATAGCGAAGCAAGTGATTTATTTACAAATTTGATCAGTACATTTAAAGCTATAAGTGATAAAGCGAAATCGGAAACGAAGTCGAGCTTTGAAAGAGGGCCGTCAATGTCGTCATGTTTATTTTTAGCCACGGAGGCTGCCTGACCTACAATTTGAGCGTCGGGAATAATTGTCAGGTCTAGGGAACCAGACTATAGTCACTTGTGAGCCGGTTATCACAATCCTGCCTACATGCACAATACCACACAGGTTTACGTTTATTTGCAAATACCTCGAGGTGGAACTCGATGTGACAGTGGAAGATCCACCAGCCTGGATTCCAGCCCTGGAACTGGAAGATGGTGTAACCCTCATTGGGCACTATGATGACATCTTTCCTTGGGCCATTGTTATTGCGAACGATTGAGCCTGTGATGGAGAACAATCGGTATAACACGAAGAATTGTTCTTAAAAGAATGAATGTGTTACTGTGTGGACCTCTCAGAACATTACTGCTTTAAAGTGTCGTAATAAGAGGGTAATAAGTTGTTGCCATCGTACACAAATCCTACGTCTTTGACGGAATTTTAAAATGAAAAGAAGTCCTTTCTACGTACGTCAAAAACGCGCTTTGTAGTCTCGGAGAAGAAAACTTTGACACTCGGAGAAGAAACCTCATTCGACTTACCATTTGCAAGGAGCTCCCTGACCAATTTGATGGACGCTCCCTTGACCCTGCCCATTGCGACCACCTTGAATTGTTGCCCATGGAGGTGCATGGGATGCAAGACTTTGAAGCTGTCAGGATTAACTAGGATGACTTCAACTCTCTATCGATGGCAGAAGTGCAAACAGAGCAAACGTCATTCCCTCAGCGAATTAGTATTTAAAAGTTAGATGTATTGACAATATCTGGTTATCAGTCTAGAAATGAATGTTGTTTGTCGAGAGGTGACCTACCTCGTTCTGGTTGACGTTGATGGTGTGCACGCAAGAGCACAACTTCTCCCCCTCGCATTCGCCCGGTGCGAAGTCGGATTCGTTGCAGAATATGTTCCCCGGCAGATCTTCAAACTGGCTCATCACAGGCGATGTAGGGAAGTAGTACGTGATGCTGTTCAGTTGCGGGTAGAGCTTCGAAAGGTTCGTAGAAGGGTCAGTGTGGCTACCAAATCCGACCCGTATGTACTCCTGATGATCCTCCGCCCCTCCGGTTGCCCTATAATCTGCGTCTGAAATTCGAAGTATTTTGTCACTCAAAAAATTTGTATCGATAGGGGGCCTTTGTGTATTTTTGTGCGCTGGTACACTTTGAGTGCGCTTCTCAAAATAATAATTATTATTTTAACCCCAATGTTAGATCCAACTGGAATCGAAAACAAGGTTATTTACCTGTTGAGTTGAGCTGAGCGAAAGATTTGTCCGGGAAAGCCTGCCACCAAGTTGACGAGTTTCCGTACGACGTGATGTCAGGCAATTCATCGATGGCTGGTGGGTCGTTGGCGCCCTCGTAATGCAGATATGCAATCTGCTTCGCTGGTTCGCCCTGCGCGTTAGTGCACGGCAGACCGATGACCTGGATCTGGTAGTTATCGATGGGCTGGTTGGCGTTCAGCACAAAGTCGAACCGTTCCCCTCCACTGCTCCTGAAGTAGTCCACAGTCAGGGGTTTGAAAGACCCACCATCGCTGGCTATCATCTGCAGGGAGTGGTTCTGGACCGAGAATTGCATGTTGCAGGGGCTGCTAGCTCCGTTGATGACCCGGAAACGATACCTTTTACCCCTCACAACATTGAAGACCTCAAGGGGTGGATGGGGGAGTTTGGTGCCTGGTGCTATCCCCTTTCCTGTTATCAAAAGATGATGATCAATGTAATGGTATTCATTGTAGGTGTGTGATTGTTTTACAATAGTTGAGCAGGAGAAAGAAGGCACACATTTGATTGTTGATGTTGTGTTATTGGTTTTAAATATTCCTTCAAACCAATCAAACTAATTTTAAAGGAAATGGCAAACATTGTTTTTTTTGTCTGACTCAATTGAGAATACATACAGTACTGAAAGTGAAAAAAAGTACTTACCGTTGATGAGAATTGATGCAATAGACGAGCCATTAATTGTCCACTGATCCCTCGCAAACTCGCTAACTGTTGTGTCGTGGTACCAATCGTTCATGAAGATGACATTTGCAGCCAAGTCCTCGTCGTACAAGTTACCGTTTGGGTCGGTTCGAGTGCTCTCCCGGATGATGAACGGACCCATCATGCCGTCTGATCGCTGCAGGCCGGTGTGGGAGTGGAACCAGTGGGTGCCGGGCTCGTAGGGGGTGAACCTGTACTGGAAGTTGCCGGGTGAGGGGATGGGACACTGCGTCACCATGGGCAGGCCATCCATGAACTGGCTGCCGTTCTGGAAGATACCATGCCAGTGGATGGTCACCCCTTCGTTGTTCAGCATGTTGTTGGCCACATTGATGACCACTTCGTCACCGCTGCAGATCTAGGTGTGAACAAAACCAATACCTATTGTTTTTTATGCGACACATTTTATGCCGCAATTCCCTTTATCGTATAGATTTCTCTTTCGAGTGCAGCTTATCATCTACAAATCGTTTGTACTGCATGCCATTTTAAGATGTGTGCTTTTGTTCAGCGGGGATACACGTAGACCTCCTGTGCATTGTAACATAACAAAATATACCTCAAATAATTATACTGGGTATACCTCAATATACTGGGTTCGAACACTACCAGGAACATGGTGTTTTGTGCCCTTGGGCAAGACACCTATAACTACAATTGCCTCTCTCCACCCAGGAGTATAAATGGGTACCTGTGAGGGTCGAGGACCGATTGAGCGCTGATATCGGCTGCCGCGTGGTCCGATGGCCTGATGAACGGGGTACTAATTGTAAAGCGCTTTGAGATCGTTGATACGATGGAAAGCGTTATATAAGCATTATCATTATTATAGAAGAGTATTCCCTGAAACTATTATGCATTGTACAGTGTGTCAGCAACAGCGTACATTAGTCGTTGTATGGAATAATCAACGTGACCACAAAATAACCCTTTTGGTTTTGAGTAATAAGGTACCAACCACTAGTAAAGAAGTTTGAGTTACAAGTATTTGCACATTGGCTGATACACATTGAAGTTGGCATCAAGCCAACAATAAGATTGTTTTTTTTTCTGTAATGAGGTGAAACTACGTCTTTGAACTGATGAAACCTGTCAGTGGCGCACCCAGGAATTTTTTTTTGGGGGGGGCTCATTTTTTTTTTTTTTACAAATTTGTTAAACGTTGAATTTTTTTGTAAAAAAAAATTTGGCCAAAATTTTTGGCCGCAGAAAAAAAAAAGGTTTTTTTTTAGGGGCGGCCTATTTTGACGTTGGTGGCGCCACTTACACCCCTATTATACTACTCGAAAACAGGCCACATTCATATCACCAAGGCCAAATCGTGGAACTAAAAAAAAAATGAAAAAAAAATGACAACCTTTGGGAAGGGGGGGGGGGCTTGAGCCCCCCGAGCCACCCCCCTTGGGTGCGCCACTGAAAGCTGTATCCGCTGCCAAAGCAGTGTGACCTAAATAGTACTCGCCTGCACACTGGGTGCTGGAAATACTCGGTTGACCAGACTAACTGCGCGTTGAACTCCATCAGCTGCGACACACTGGTCGTTACTACAATCACTTCCAGTTCTTGGGCAATCTCCACACTACAAGGAAACAAAAACGCCACACAATGGCTTTTAATGCATAGCACATCTCAATATGTTAAAGACTACACGCACAAGCGCACGGGACTTGTCCATTTTGAAGTGCAAACTAAGCATGTTCAGATTTGCTTTTCGGCTCATTGTAGAGAATGTCACCAAAAAACACCATAGCTTCCTATTTTTTCAGCCATAAATTTTGTGTGCAAAAACCCCAAAACAGTGCTTGTGAAAATATATATGTGCAAACCGAAAGAGGGCTAGCACGATTCCGAGAGTGAGCGAATGACATTATTCATCACCAACCTGGGGATGTGACATCGTGTAGTACCAATTCACCGCCCAGTTGTACGTGCAGGTCATGGGGATTGAGAAGTCACAAGATCGGATGCACGGATGATCGTCAGCAGGTCTCAGTGACCTAGCTGCTTGTAGGACTGCAGATTGAAAAAGACCGCAAAGCATCAGTGCCTATAAGTGTCATCAAACTGACACTGGACAATACCTCAACATTGCATCTTTACGATGAAATTATTCCATTAACTTTACATGTAGTAAACTATATTTACTCACTTAGTTGCGGATTTTTTTTGTACAATATATCTTTGGACTTAGTTGCTCAGGGGTAAAGACAACAGTCAATATTGTGCAGGGAAAATAAAAGTGTATATTTATAAAAAACTGCTTCGAGTACAAATCGCAAAAACAACAAAACAATGCACAAGATAAAGGCTGTTGTTAAAGCATTTGACTCCGTCATGCGAGTGTTTGTTAGTATAGTTTGTTTCTCCAATCCAGTGTCATTTCCATACGCTATTATCGTGTAAATATAAACGGTACCTGTTATGAAGAAAATTGCAAAGACCAACACCTTCATCTTGGAAACCGAAAAATAACCCTCAGCGCGATATATATAGTACACCTGAGGTTCCAAATGATGCAATGACTGGAACTCCAACTATCAAGTGCACTTTCAAATATGTTCCTGCTGACAACACCTTTCTGGTCTGTATGGCGGCTTTTCGGACGAGCCGCTGAGTCAGCGGCGCTGCATGACTAAAGCTCTATTGTAAAATGTTCGTGGGAACCGGTGTTTCCACAAAAATCACAGACTATGTCTCAATTGTTAACCTTGAATATCCCGGATACAAGTGACAAAAACGCCATTTTTTACCTTTAACAATTGATTTTGGATTTCTCAGAATTGTTTGGGGTCGATATTTTGCGGCGATATTTTGTATTGTCATTTCATAGACACACAAAATGCAAGTACTATAACGAAGTCAGTATCCGGAGTCAGTATTAGGATTCTACTGTAACACTACATGTTTGGATATGCAACCATCAATGTGTACGAGGCCTAAAGTCAACACTAATAGGGCCTAGCGTGGAAAATCAAACCCAGATATGATGTATACCAAAACTCTGTAACATTTCTATATCACCCGAAGGTATGAACATTTTCACTGAATACTATGTTGTATTTTCTCCATATTGTACATACCCTTTCAGCAGTTCTTCATTAAAGGAAAACTACAGACCAGACGATTTAGAATGAACATCATTCTTACTCATGGGCGTCGCCAGGATTTTTTTTCTAAAATGGGGCAAAGCACATTATTTGCAAAATCCTTGTACTTTCTCTAGCATATTCTCAATTTATCGAGCAGGGTCTGTGGTGGCTGACCCGGGTGAGCCCCGAGAATGACGTCAGAGCTAATCGAACGGCACGTGTCGACCCGGGTGAGCTAAATGAACGCACAGTTTCCAAATAGACCTTTTCTAAGTGTACGCAATCTTTAAAATCAAAGCGAGGCAAACGAGTCTCTCGCAAAGTTACAGCAGATTGTCACTCTTATAAAGGATGGTTCAATTTCCCCCGAAACATCAATCCGTATTCTAGGTCATGTCTCATTGCATTTTGAAAAAGAATGTTTAATTTAAAGCCTAAAACCAGCGGCCAAACTGAAATTTCCTTGTAGTAGTACTGGTAGTAGTTAAGCCGCAGCCTATCACAGCCGTCAACGTCAGACTTTCTATCAATCATTTTTTTTTTTCATCTGTGGCGTTATCTGAGCTGAGATTGCACTTTTGGTAGGAAATGCTTACATTTTGTAAGGCTACATGCCCACATGCACGAACTGTCATACGCACAGGACTTATAATTTCCCCAGAATACTGGTGCCCGATACGAACATGAAAAATTCTCCTCATGCAGACATTTCTACAATGGTCGTGCACTGCACCCCGACTCGTTTATTTGTAAAATGATACGGGCCTTCGAGATGCCCACCCGACTATTAGCAGAGCAAACGCAGGTGGATCTCGAAGGCCCGTATCATTTTGCACGTAACGACCGGTCCATTGAGAGGAGAATTTTTTTCATGTTACAGTTCAGCTCGGCAATAGACTTGGCCAATCATAAGCTCATTGTGCCGTTCGGGGGAAGTGACCATGCAGTCCAAATGAAGTTTTCGAATGATCAGCATTTTGAGGCTGACTGGGCCTGGGCCATCAATACTGATGTGTGTCTCGTTCATTTTATGACGATGCACTGACACATCAAACTTCGGCGACGGCAGACCCTTCTTCTTCGTCCTCCAAGTTCTGCGCAAACTTCATAATGTTGAAAACTGATGCACATTGTTGGGGGCGCAACTTGTGGATGTAGTGCATAGCCTACTATTTCGACACTGGAGACCAATTTGTTAGTATCTTCTTAAACATTGAAGGGTTGTAAGCCTCTACAAAAGATTCGGGAAGCTTGTTCCATTGACTTACAGTGCGGGGAAAGAAAGACATCTGATAATATCATCTGGAGCAAGATCGGAGTTTGTTAGCCTGTGAGTTTTCTGTTCGGGTAGCATCTAAAGTCTTGGACTCAATTGGTGCATGCGGCTCGCGTCTATATTATCTGGAGTTACCTTGTCCGGAGTGACGCACCTAGCTGTAAGTGTAGTCATTAATCTCAAGAAGATGCCAAATGTAGCAGACAGCAGGTAAGATTTGGAAAGAGGTAAGCAGACCAAAAAAAAGTTTTTTCTTGATCGTTATCAAGGTATTTTCCTGACTACAGACGTTTATTCAGTTTCGATTTGAAAACGGCAGAAAAAGCAGATGATCTTAACTTTATAGTGTCTGTCAAAAATAGACGTTTTTTTTTCCTGCGGCTATTCATGTCTTTATTGTTGATGTCATAAAATAGCGACTTTGAATACTATCCTAGCTGACAATCCTACTGATCTCCACGTAAAAAGGTAGTCCCACGACTGGCTCTTTAGTCGCGTGAAGATCGTGAGAATATTGTGTGAGCGTTTGATTAGCACAGCTCTCGCGGGCCATCATGGCTAACCGTTTTTCTTTACCCGAGTCAACCCACCCGCGGACGGAGGTAACTCAATCCGGCACACGACATGGCGGAGTTCACGGAGTCTATGAATCTTATTTTTAATTTAAAAGGGACGGGAACCAGTCTGGAAAGGAAGCGCGGTCACCGTGGTTGTTCGTGCTTACTGTTACCAAACATTGAGAATCGAGAGAGAGGTTTCCTGCAAATGTTGTGTGTCTCCCTGCACTTCTTGTGAACGGAGTTAATCGTACCAAAAACCTTTTAATGATACAAAAAAGGACGGGAGCCAGTCTGGATGTCAAAACATTTAGTACACGAGGTCGTGTTTGCTTTTATCAGGGAAGTTTTCTGCATTTACAGCTTACGGTGTTTCGCTTTTTGCCCAACGTATGTGCTAAGGGGCTATTCAGAATAGTCAATGTTAAGAAATATCGATCTTGCTTTCGAAATTGTGGCTGGGTGGGTCAAAGGAAATAACTGAAAATCGAAATTCAATTGTCAATTAAAGTATATAGAAAACTATAAACAAGAAGCAGAAAAACACACAAAAAATACCCAGCGGCCTCTTCGAGATCGTCTGTAATGTCTGTCATTGGACACAGCAAAAGCTAATCACAACGAAGCCGAAATAACCCTTTTTAAATTGTTTAAATAATTATAGTTCTGTAGAAAACTGTATTTTGTGTGCTTGGCAATGTCCGTCTGTTTCAACTTCAAAGCTGCATGCTGGAAGCCTGAAAAAAAGCCATTGAAAACTCGTGAGCTGGGAAAGCATTGACCTAAACTATCTGCTTCATTGAAGCATTACTTTGTTCTTCAGTTTATATTGAACAGTCATTCAACATTAAAAAATCGAAATTTGGGGTGGGTGCATGGGTAGGTCAAAACAATTCCGAAAAATACAATCGAAATGTCACCATTGACTATTCTGAATCGCCCCTAATTCAATGCCGAATCCTTATTTGATAATACAAAGTCTGGTTATGAACTTTAGTGCAAGTTTAAAGAAAATCGGAACTTGACCGACTTCAAAGCAAATGTTGCATGATTTTCATGTTACTTTTATTTCGTTTGTTTTGTGAAGGCGCCCATGCGCAATATATACATTTTTGTACATGCAAGTCGTTTTTTGTACACTCCATGAACTTCGCGCGCTACATAATAAAGGCGTCGTCTCCCGCGACAGGGTACACTTCTGCATGTATATTACCCATACTTTTTTATTTCATCAAACTCTTCGTAACTTACGATGCATCGCAGCGATGCGACGCCAGGGGCGGCAGAACCGGGGGGCTGGGGGGGGGGGTTGCCCCCCAGATTTCCCCAAGTGCCCCTTTTGCGGCCATAAATGTGCCCCCTCGAGCATTAAAGTGCCCCCTCGAGATGAAACAAAAATGCCCTTAAAGTATCTTACTTTTTCTTAGAAGTAACCATTTCCCAATAATGGTATAGATATTTTTGATATAAACGAGGAATATGAAAACCAAGTCCCAAAACCCATACAATACGCCCTGAAAATGGGCACCTAATACATATTTAGCATATAATCATTGTTTTGAAGAGCGCCCCCTATGTTGGAAGATGGTACCAGCCCCCTTAACCTCCTTAAATACGCGGGACGGTACCTGCTTGTCGTTGACTTCACAGATTCTGCATTGGAAGCTTGTAGCTTCGACCATGGCTCGACGAAGTTCTAAGGTGGCTCTGCCGCGGTTATTCGTCCTGTCTGCTGCTGTTTTTCGCCTGTTCTGTTTCGTGTCACCGGGTAAGGCTGTCATTTGTTTTTGCAAGCCTAATTCTTTAAAAACCACAAATATTAAAATGGGAATCACTCTCATCCCACCGTAAAAAACAAAAACAAAGGTAATTTTACATGATAAGAGTTTTTCACAGATCCAGGCTGTAATTGATTTTTACAGCAGTTTTGTTGTTGAAATTACAGTTTTCAAGTAAAACTATTCCTATAGTTCGACAAAATCTTGTTAATGAGTGTTCTTTCCTTTTAGACGGTTCATATCGCATGGTAGATGGCATAAACGTGTCCTATCCAATCAAAAGCCGTGCAAAACAATACGGCCCTCCCACCGCGCGGCGCCATCCAATCGTTTGCCAGAATGACTTTTATTATTACGAATGACCAAGAAGTAGATGATATGTCATATTCAGCATGAATTGATTTGTAAATCTGTGGGTTTTTTTTTACAACAAAAATATATTAGCTACTAGGCCTAATGCTGACTATCATTGGTATTTGTCATCCTTGTTCAATTTCTATGCCTTGTATCACGCCCGTTGGAGTCAAAGCCCGCCCGCCTGGTACTTTCCGATTTTACTGGTTCACCGGATATCATGATCTGCGGATCACTCGGTACGTTTTTCCCCACCGTTGCGGAGACCACGACGGGTTATTCTGTTCAATAATCGGTCACATGATGATCAGTCACATGATGACCAGTCGCATGATGACAAAATGGCAGCCGTCAATTTTGAATCTTGTAACTCCCTTCGTAATTTCGTGAATCTGATTGGTTAGCAAAAATACCTCGTCAAATCGGAGTGCTGCCCGCACACCCTTCCGGTGACATCTGATCCGGTGGAATCGGATGCGAAAAAAATCCAAACATGTTTGATTTCATCCGGTCGCCCGGTGTACGAAAATCGGTCCGATTTTTCAGCGCACACCTCTATTCGATGTCCCGAT